GTTAAGGAGCCCCTCCCTAGATCGAGGTTTTGATATTTTGCAGTATTTCAAAAAGATTTTACCCTCAGTGGAAAGCCTTTGATCTTCTCTACAAGATGGGGTTCGGTAAAAACCCGCATACAAGAATCCAGAATTTTCAAGGTCAGGCTGAACTTGTTCTTATCTTTTAGGGTAGTTTTCACAATTCTGGCTGATTAGGTTTTTAATAGCTTCTTATTTTTCAGAGGTTGTCGTAGTGTAACCATTGGCAGAAATATTGTACTTCTAGTACATAATGGCTTATGAAAAACATATTTCTAGTGAAAATCCAAACAAATCTACATCAAAGAAAACGTATGCACAACAACTTTTGTCAACCGTTTCTCACACAATGAGAGTGGGAGTGATTTTTTGTATATAAGAACCTATTTTCCTTTGCCAGGCATGTAGGTACTTATATGCTGGTTTTTACTGTATATTTTATGGGTGAGAGGTCACTGGAGGCAAGTGACGTTACCAAACATGGTCGCCATCTTGGCCGCCATCTTGGAAATCATGGGAAAAGAAGGCGAGAATTGGTAAAAACATGCTTTTTCACCCAAAATGATTTCAGACCATCTGCTACTGTTCACTTAATTAGTCTGCTACACAGTCGTTTTTACTGTCGTCGTTTGCAATTGGGACTGAGCATTGTGTGATGACACTAAAAACCGCTGTGTAGCAGCCTACTCATCACTAAACTTGTCTCAAACTGCGTATGAGAGATAAACGAACAGCTACTGAAAACATCAGGTGCTAATGTTTAATCGTCTAGGAAAAATCGCAGAAAAAAACCTCAGAAGGGGTGATATCCAACCATCCCCTTTCCTTCCCCTTGTACGTCTGTGGGTTAACGTTAAGAAGTAAGATTTACCGGTAAGCTCGGCTCAAAGCTAATAGTAATGAAATTGCATGCTTCTCATTCACAAGTTGCACCTGATTTAAAATTGACACCCACGATCTAATAGATGGGACATAAAACTGCTTAATGAAGGTGCATGCTTAATGTTCGGTGGAATATTATAAATTCCAGTCTTCTATGTAGCGACTAAAAAGTGAAAGCTAGTGAAACTTCTCCTTTAAAAACTGCTGAAAGACAAATAGTTTGTTGACAAAGCTGGTTTTCCCAAAGATGTTTCTTTTGAATGGTTACCCCGCCAGAATACAAGATTTAATCAAAAGACTCAAAAGTTAGAGCTACCTTATTAGGTCTTATTAGACTCCCTCATTTAATCTCGGAATAAAAGAAAATAAGAAACTTTGTAAAACGCAAAGAAAGGAACGAGTAACACGTGACGAATAATAGTGTATAGAAAAGAGGTACGTTTAATGGACCGACCGAGCGAGGCACCTTACTTCACTCCTCTCTTCAGAATTCTTTCAGCATGCTCGCTGCTGGGCCCGGCAGTAAAGAAAAAATTAGTACAAAGAAACATGCAGTAACTGAATAACTTTTTTCAAATTCATTCGGTTTGAATAGTCGCAAGTCAAGAAAAAAGGAGAACACAACACGCAATAATCATATTAATATGTACCCACGTTTATTTATCACCTTTGAATTAGACCCGAATGACAACAATGTGCAGCTCCAAAGTTTTCCCCCCATTAATTGCACATAGAGACCACCCTTCAACCAACAATTTATTGACTAAACCGCTTCAACTTAGTGCGTCAGGAATTCTTGGAACTGTTACTGAACTGTATACACCATCGTTTACTCAATACCTTCCAATTTTATATGCACCGAGGAAGGTATGTTTAGCTGACAGCCACAACCTGCTTTCGTAAACGGTTTTCAAGCCGATCTTATCGCCCTTTTTCAGCCGGATAACTCCACCTGTGTAAACGCTGCCATAGTCAGCTTTGTTTCCGAGGCCTGTTTGCATCAAGGCAAATGGTTGTCCATTTACAGTTATTGCCACACGGTTGTGATATTCAGGGCCGTCTTGGTAGATTTCAAAAAACACTTGGGCATAGATGTAATAGGCACCACGTTGCTTTACTTCCAATAGGCCCTGTTCAGACTTGAAACCTTTAAATGCTTCATCGTTCTCAAGGTCAGACAGCCCTAGCAAAAAAGGTAACTAAAAGATTAAAATATGTTCAAACTGCATGTTAACCAGGGCTTAAAGGAGCTAAGTTGTGCTATTTCCCATCTCTCAGTTGAAAATCTAAAATGATCAGGTTTCGCATGAATCGAATTCCATAACCGCTAATGGTCCAGATTTGTCTTTTAAGACTATATTTACGCATTGGAGCTGTTTCCTATCGTCTGTTTTTTATGGATAACAAGCGCATACACATGGCTTGAAACTTGAAATAACGTTTTAATGCTATTATGCAAAAATCACCCAAAAACGATCATAATAAGTGCTCCCTGATGAAATTCGTAACTCTAAAGGAGCATTTTGTGTATGGGTAAACGCACTGAACTTTACAGCAATACATCCCCGCGACGTAGCCCCTTTAAACGGTTAGCTGTTAATAACAGTTGTCAGGCATTTTAATGCTCAAATCTTACTTGTATCTGCAGTGAAGATGCGAGCCTCCGACAAGGTTCCTGAAAGTTGCGCCAAAGGTTTCTAAAAGTAAAAAAGATCTACGTCTTAAACTTCCATGGATTTGGACGTCCCTGCTTGGGAAAAAAAACTTTGTTAACGCTTAAAGGCTTAAACCAATTCAGTAACCTATGTGAAACTGTAGATCTAAGTGTTAAGAGTGATTTTCTGTAAAATTCGAACTTTGGCCTGACACCGGGTACCTCATCGATTTGGCTGATTTTTGGCAAGTAGCCTTGGAATAGTGTCCTAAATACTGAATGCATTTTCTAAGGTTTGAATTCTTTTTGCTTTCAAATTAAGTTAAGAAGTTAAGCCTGTAATTAGATCCTATCTATTGCTAGATTAATTTGCATATAGGGAAGGTACGAATACTTCCGAGGCTCTCATTAAAAGCCAACACATGTGGCTTAAATGGCTTGACACTAAAGAAGAAGATTGCGTTAGGGCGTTAGGGTTTTTGCCTTTGATTTCTCCAAGGCTTTTGACTCAGTGAATCACTTCATAATTGCCCATCAATCCTTACATTGTTAATTGGATGATTAATTTTTCATTTAATAGACAACAAAGAGTAATTATAGCTGACGGTGACACGACCCCCCTTTTAGCCTATAAACAGAGGTGTGCCTTAGGGCACTATACCTGGACCAAGCTCCCCAAGAAGTGCAAAATACTCAGTTGGGCCCTGGACAACCTTATGACTATAAACCTTACTAAAACTTAGGAGATGGTTGTTAAGGGCAAAGTTGAGAGACCCCTTCCTACTGTCACTTTTGATATCAATCAGGAAGAATTTCTTAATCTTTTAGGTGTTTGCCTTCATAGTAATCCTACAAATCGGGACAAGCAAATTGATGCCCTTCTTAGTAAAGCAGGGAGGCGTATACACATATTACGAGTGTGCAAGAAACCTGGCTATAGTCTTGACTTTCTACGGCACCTCTTCCATAGTTTGATTATACCTATTTTTACTTATCGCATTTTAGTATGGAGTGTTGCCAGATATGATAAGTATCTTTCCAAAATTGACAAGTTCAGAAAAGAGCAGTTCGTTTTGGTTTTTTCCTTTTACCGCGGCAGTGTTAGCTCAGTTGGCGGGTAGTAGAGCGTGTTGACTGCAGAGCGGGAGGTCGCGGGTTCGATTCCTGGGGCCGGACCAATACTCAGGGTCTTAAAATAACCGAGAAATGAAGGTACTCCCTTTGCACTGCAACAGGCTAGACCTTCGCGTGGCTCGGATGACCACGTAAAATGGCGGTCCCGTCTCCAGTTGGAGACGTAAAATATAGTGTCCCCAATTGGTACTTTCCTGCTAAATACATTGACACTCAAATAAAGTGCTTTTTTTTTTTAAAGTCCTCAGATAATAAGGTATGGAAGAATATAACTACGTCTCTTGAAGGCCCTTTGGTAGATCTCCTCCCACCCAGTAAAACAACTTTGCTAAGGAATCGTGGTCATTCCTATGTACTTTCTCAGATTAGGACCGAACGTTTTAAACGCTGTTTTATTAATAGATGCCTCTTCAATTTTATTTAATTGCCTATTATAATCCAGAACGTTTGTTTTTTGGAACCTAATAAAGAGCTTTTTATTTATTTGTCTATTTAATATTTATTTATTGGCAAGCTGAAAGAGGTTTACAATAATAATTCTAGCCTTATGATTGAAATAACTTAATCGTGACTCGTACAGCTGCAAAAAACTATACCCTTCCTCTTTGCATTTACCTACTTTTATCAGAAAATGGTTAAGCCTGAGCTACGAACGGCTATAGCCTCTCCCAGTATTTTTTCGTACTTAAAAGGTACACAAAATTGGTAGAAATTGGAAGGTCAATAATTATATCACCCATGCCACATCGATTTAGAGTATTTAAATAGCCATTTTAACTAAACGTAGTTTGTTTATAGATAACTTAGATTGTTGAAAAAAATTATTGGGCAAATGTAACGGAGCAGAACTATAATAGCATAAATGCGCAATGGTTCAGCCACTTGGCCGCTAACAATTCCAAACAAATATTCGGTGAATATTTGAAAAGAAAATCCTTAACTCTCGGACGTACACGCAAAGTCATACCCCCACCGTGGTACAAGAAGGGGGGGGTGGTTGGAACCCTCCCCGGAGTTTTTGATATGTTGCAGTATTTCGAAACGATTTTACCTTTAGTGGAAAGCCTTTAATCTTCTTAACAAAATGAGGTATATTTTATAGGTGGTTGCGCTGCTGGAGGCCTGTGACGTCACCAACAATGGTCACCATCTTGGCCACCATCTTGGATTTTAACAAGAACTAAAAATCAGGTTAAAACCGTGAGAAATGGTAATTTTTTCCGCTTTACATGAAAAATAAGACATAAATGAATTATAAATAAATTACTTTTATTGTTGAAAAAAGTTGAAAAAACATGTACTTTCACTCAAACATGGCTTGACCACCTGCTACTTATGATGTCATATCTCGTAACCATAAAACTAACCATAACAACTGACCATCACTCAACTTGTCTCAAAATGTGCGCGAGGGGTGAGCGAACAGCTACTGAAAACGTGAGGTGCTGATGTTTTATCCTCTAGGAAAGCCATCACGCCCGCGTGCACATAATGCACAAAGCTACTGAAAACATGTGGTTTCCTTGAAGAGTAAGAAAGCCATTGTTTTGAAGCCGTTTATTAGTATTATTACGGTGATATCTCGCCAGTCGAAAAAGGAAGGATAGCGGATTCAATTTTATACCCAACACAGGATGTTTTCTTAGAAGTACTTAACTATTGTAGCTAAAATTCGAACCGTGGTGGTCACTCGTGAAGATGGCGATCGTCGGAAATGAAGACGGTGGTTTTGCAAGGATTCCAATAAGCCCTTCATTTCCTAATCTGCTGTACACTGTTTGCAGATCTTCAAATGTCAGCCCTCTTCTTTCAACCTTGTTCTTCTTTAGGAATAATTTCGACGGCGACGTTTTTCTTTAAAAGTCTGCTGTAAAAGATGGCGCCGATCTATAAATCGTACATCATGTCCTAAGCTACACGTACAAGACCGTAGGTCTCGACGGACAACTATTGCTTTTGTCAAGGGGCCATCTGCGAGTAAAAAGTATTTCTCGTCGTGCTAAAACATTTTCTAGTGCGTCTTGCATGTGCGCTGAAGCACGTTTGAAACAAGAAAAAATACAAGGATGGTGGTTTGTCGATGGAAAGATTCCTTCGATTAGGATGCAAGTTAAGTGGGAAACCTTTTTTCTGATAAGTATTTTCAAGAGAGGATAAAGGGGACAGAGAAGGCATCCCCCATACACACCCTTTTCCATAGGTAATTCGTCGCGAGTTATTTTTAGAATCGGGATAAAGTTACCTCGCGCGCTGCGTGGATGTTTCGGGGAGGTTTCGCATGACTAAATGCCGTGCAAAACGTGTCGGGCGAAAGGCAATGAAAGCGTAAAGAGATCGAGAGCATTCCTGAATTTTGAAGCGAAATGAGTCGCCGCTCACCTGGGAAAAGGGAATCGATGGACTCTTTGACAACCCGTGAAATCAGTTTAACTCAAAGACGTCGTAACCTCAGTGCTTTAATAAAATGAGAAATTTCGCCGGTCTATTAAAACCGGTCGTTTGTACAATAAAGCAAGTAGGACGCCAAGTGTTATTTTTGTTGAATAATAAAGGACTAATAAAAGAATAAATATCAAACCAGAAATTTCTCTCTTCAAACTGTAAATAATAAATGAGGGGTGAGAGAATGTTCAGCGCTGTACTGTTAGCTCCATACAAGAGAGAAAGGGCGATTCTTCTTTAAATTCCGTTTCGCTGACAAAGCTTTAGCAGAAATCTTCGTCGACAAAACGAATAGAAATATCGCTCTCCGCGTCTTCCGCCATTTTGTTCTGCGTCAATTCGTGAAATACGCGTGGCTCTGAGCGTGGATCATCCACGCGGAACACATTCGCGTTATGTGATTGGCTGTTGTCTAATCCCCATTGAGATCTGTGGTGTTAAAAATAACTCGAGACGAATTACCTTTGGAATAGGGTGTGTATGGGGGATGCCTTCTCCGTCCCCTTTATCCTCTCTTGGTATTTTAAACAATGTGAGTTTACACTCCCTGTAATCTTGTCTTAAAGCCACTTATAGAATTACTTAAATCAAATAAAATGTAAGAGAAATAAAGTGACAGAGGAGCTCCGCCAGTGAAGACCATCTTCAGTGTTTGTTCGGGAATTGGCTCGATCTTTCAGATCTTTCCACTGACCGTGAACCAAAGGCAAGAAACAGCAACATTGCTTCATTCTGGGTTAGTGTATTTACTTCTTTGTTTTCTTAGTAAAGTTTCCACTCACCATTTACTTCGACTATTTAACATTTGTCTACTTTTGAAGCGAAAGAATTGATGTCTTTGGAAAATTTCTGCTTTGTTTTTACATACAATTTACTCTTATGGAGATCGATAGTGACTTGTAACCGGTGTAACATTGTCTCCTCTCATAAATGTTTGACCTACACTAGTCAAACTTTTTGCACAATGAGCTTCAACAGAAAGTTAATAAAGTTTAATTTTTTTGGGTGGGAATATTTCGAAACTAAGAGGCCATTTTTTTTTTCATTTTTGCGTGGACGTCGCGCGGATTTTAAAGCTGGCGCCATACTAATGCTAAGGCTGCGCACCGCCAATTTACTCTGGGGAGCCACCTTAAATGAACAAACTTAATCAAGTTCAGTCTTCTTGCTTCAGTCTTCTTACCCGACTTTGAACAGAAAGTTGTTTTTTTCTTTTCTCTCGGGACTTGCATGTATTCTGCCTTTCACCCAGTATTTTCTTGTAACTTTTAATTTTATAGCAATCTGGAACTTCAAACGCTTTTTTTTTTTTAGGGACATCACCCATTTTGTTAAAAATCCCGTCTGAATTAGGGTATCGAATTTTTAATCAGGTCTGAGAAAGAGTGGGGAAAAACACAGATTTTGGTCTGAAATAGGGTAAGGGTTTCAGGAAGCGTGGGGCACACCCCGCCCAATTTTTCTGGAAGTATCATCTTAGACCTTTCTTATCGATAGTCTGCATTCAAGTTCTGCCTTAGGGAGGCTTTCCTGGATAAATCTCAAGATAAGAAGAAAGTTGCATCGTTTAATATTCATTTATAAATGTAGGAACAACCTTTTCTCACTTAGGATTTATTTAAGATATCATTAAGATTTTCATGAGTATAATTCCAGATGTAAGTTCAACATACGTTACACTGATGCTAAGCGCAAATGGAGCCATTGGACATCAATTAATTTTGCTACATGTAGTAATGACTGGAATGATTTGAATCATGATAAACGCAGAAGCTGGGCCGGGATATTCTTACTTTTAAGGGCAGGGGGGCTAGCTTATAGTAATTTATATTTATAAATATTTATATTTAGTAGTTTTAGCATCACTCTATTAAAATAATCTCAGATTTGTATGTTTAGGATTGAGGGAGGATATTTAGTTTTTAGTAGTAATTTTTATACTTATTTAACTAGTTTTTCTTGTTGCTGTTTTGCTTACATTTATATTCATTTATTTATTTCGTTTTTTCAGGACCCTATTGTAAAACACCTAAGTATAGTAGGCTGAAAAAAAATTCATTATTATTTTTGCATGTATATTTATTGTTAAAAAGCCCGGAAACGGAGAATTTTATTACTTGCTGATGGGATCTTTTTTACATCGTTTCGCGTCAGCAATTGGACTGGCTAAACTCATGACTTACCTTGGGACGAGGCTTAGCATCCGCCGTTGCAGCAAGGATCGCCAGCATCAACAAAGGTAATACAACTTTTCGCATTATGCGTCCAACAAGATATGACAAACTGCAAACTATACGAAAAAAGGCAGGATAACGAGTTTAAAAACAGTTTCATGGGTTTTCGTAACATAAATGTCATCTTAATAAAAAACATTTTTTCCTTTAGGTAAGTGGATGTCTAGGTCAAAACGTCCTGATGGGGCTTACCTTAATCTCTAAGAGGAGAAGAAAGCCATTTGATTTTTAACTTCGTTGCTGTATTGATAAATAAGCAGAGTGCATTTTTTTCATATCCACAGTAACTAGAACGGTTGTCAAAACATTTGTACCATCCAAAGGGTGTAAACGTTATTAATGTGGAGAAACCTTGCCGCGGACGGAAGGGTTACTCGACTACTTGAGCCACCCATGCAGGGCGTGCCAGCGTTTTCTGTGATTCACCCTTTCCTTCCTGGCGAACTGTTTGCATGAAATATGGCTCGGCTTTTTAAAAGTGACCCATTTAATCATTTCTCACCCTCCTAGCTTCTCCTGTGTGTGTGCGTGGTGTTTTTATAAATGTGGGGACGAATTAGATTCAGGACCTATTCAAAACCTCTGGGAGGAGACGAAATATATTTGATTTTTAACTGCATTGCTGTATTGAATGCGATGAATAGCGTGCAGTTTTCCTATCCACAGTAACTAAAACGCTCGTCAAAACATTTGGACAATCCAAATCGTGTAAATGATTTTTTTAATATAAATGATAATAAGTGTTTTGAACTACCATAATGATTATATATTAACGTAAATCAATGTTTACATAATAAATCCGGTAGTGATGGGGTTCCAAATGCAAATTTATTCAATTTTACGTGTCTCCTGATCGATTTTGGCTAAGTGTGTGTTCATCCGAGAACGAGCTCCAGCAAAACTCAAATGCTTTCTCTGGAGAAGAATATACTCCTATAATTTTGACTATTTTCTTATAGATTTATCACGTTGGTACATTTTTACTTCACTATGGAAATTTTTGACGCTAATTCGTAGATATTCCCCCTCGCGAAACGTCCCCAGCGGCGACGGAGAAAGGAGAAACGGCTGTTCTCGCAGGCTACTTATCTATTCCTCAGACTTAGTTTGGTTTGATTACCATGGTCGCTGGCCACATTTAAGCAAAAATGCAGGTTCATGGCACAGGTTTGTCCAAAAACCCTCATCAATGTAAAGCAAAATGTTAGGACTAAAACGCAGAAAACTAATAGATAGAGTTAGCCAGAGCTAAAAGCAAAGCTCCCGTCACATTTTTTTTATTTTTCAAACGGCGAGCTTGGAACTATTGCAAAGAAATTCACCGATCTACAGTTGACTTTAAGGGAGGACCATATGACGTTTGAGGGAACAATTGCCGCTGAAAAAAATTGAAAAGCAAGCTTGCGATCAGTTAAAAGCTAATAAATGGTCAGCGGAAAACCTTACAAAAACACATGACCTTACCTAAGATAAAAGCTGGGCCTGCGATACGGTCGTATTACACTGGTCAGCTGTCAACTGACCATAACATTGACCTCCAACATCAAGTCAAACGTAGTTTGTAGGCTAAAAAAATGCCATTTTACATTCAATTTGATTACCCTGACGGGCGGGTGGACGAACTACAGTCACGTGACAACCAAAATGTCTTGGATGCATTAATAACCAAATTTTCTTACCCCGCCAAAAAAAACAGAAATTATGTAACCCTGCAAATACGCATGTCACATGGTCTCCTTTAAGTACTTTAACTACGGGTAGTTGATAAGTTTGAAATAGGGAAATTTTAACTTCTCTTCTCAGAGAATCGCATCAGGCTAGACAGACCATACTAAATAATTGTTGCTCCTGCAAATAGCTTAATACAGCAATTATTCATCAATAGGAGGCCTAAAACGCACGTAGTTCCAGTTGTCCGTAGTTTCTAATTGGTTAAGTTTGAATTCGCGACATATATTTTCGGGAAACCAAAATTGGAACATTCTCTGGAATGGGAACGTGTTCCTTTGAATCGTACATAAATATCAACCCACAGCAAAGCATTTCAAACACGTGACGATTGAAACCTTTGACCAAGTTGTTAATAAATCTATGTGAAAAAAAAGTTAAAAGTTTAAGTTGAATCGAAACTGGCGTATAAGCTTGTGGTAAATGAAAAAAATGCCACTAAGGAAAATGAATTTTGAATGTTTCTATTTCTTCTTCTTCTTTTTTTTTTTTTTTGGAATATGGCTGTCCATTACACTTCAGTGAAAAATTCTGTCTCAGTAAAAATAATCAATCCCTGATTTATTAGTCGAATGAGGACATTTTCGCTCTATCGAGGTTTTATTATTCTAAATTGGTTAATTACAACAACAATAATAATAATACTGATAATTAAATTATGATAAATAACGGGATCGATTAAGTAGAATACATAAAACGATATGTAGCGAAATTCAATATAGAGCAACAACAACTTTATTTCTGCTGTGGACAACTAAGAGAATATACAAGAAATATAATTATAGATATAAACACATACAGTAGTCGGACACCCAAAATAACTATAAAGCTGAACTAGTTGGGTGACCATAAAGGTGAAAATAACACTAAAAATCAATTTTTTTATCATATTTCTGAATCACCTTCAAAAATGAATTAATAATTTATAAAGAAAAAACAAAACGAAGTCATGTTTATATCTGATTAAGACACGCCTTAACTTTACGTCCAATTTTTTTAGACCAAAATAGCCTCAAATCTAAATATTATTGCAAGAATGAGTTTATCTACATCAGAGATTTTAAAACCGTTAAAAAAACTCGCAGTCGTGTAGTTTTAGATATAAAAGCCCTTGGCTTCGCCCTAATAATACACTTCTCCTCGTTTTTTCAACAGTACAAACTTCTTACAAATCAAAGAGCACTACATTAAAAGTATCATTCAATGTACAGGGGCAAATAAAAACTGATGCACTCAAGAATGATAATACGAATAAAACTACAATTGCCCATCGGACGTTGGGCGAAGATCCGCTGGTCTAAGGACGCGAGGACCGGATGAAGAACAAAGGGAATAGAAAACTTATCTGCAAAAATATCTAAGTAAACATAATTTGTTGGTAGTGTGTATCAATGATAATGGTCAAGAGTATCACTTTCTCGGTGCCCTTTAGGTTTAGTTTCACATCTAATGTAACCGTTTATTAACTTTTATTACAAGTTTTTGATGTAAACTTCGCCAATGATTTTATGAATTAAAGCTGTAGCTAACCACAAGTGACAGGCTTTGTCCCAAACTTAAAAACAAAAAATTTAGTTCTGGTGTTTTAGTGTTTTTGAGATACCACTGCCGGCTTGTCTGCCATTATCTGTAATCAGGAGCGGGTGTTATCTGATACAAAAAAACTTTTACAATTTTGGGGGGATCACTTCATTTTTTAAGAGAACAGAAGGTGGGGGGGAAGGGGGTAGTCATTCGTAATTAGGAGCTCAGAATGGGGATCATGGAAAATTTTGCAAGGGTTCAGAGGGGAGACCACTCAAATTTGCTTTGACAATGCTCAAACGCTTGAAAAAAGGAAGTGGTCTCGTCTCAGAATATTGGACTTGGTCTTTAACTCAACATGCTTAGCTTTTTAATCCGACTTACGCACTACATACGTATTTCGTCCTCGTGTTCTACCACATCCCATAATAATTAATACGGTATTACATCCCATAACAATCTCGCACAGGTAGAACGACTTCCGGTACACTACAGAAAACGAAAGTGGCAGTTAGCCTGCTGATATATGAATCAGTATTGTTTAAAAGAAAACATACTTTATCCTGGTTATTGTGATTTGTACATAACTTATACTAAATAGTATTCAGCATCTTCATCTGTCTCATCTTGAGTCCCATCATCCAATCCAATCTCTTCATTAGCATATAGAGCCTTATCATCCGATTCTTTGCGGCAAGTCGACTTTGAATTTTGTGCGCTAAAAAAGGCCGCCACTAGCCTGAATTTCAGACCATTACTTCGAGTCATTTTTACTCTCTCAGTTGCTGAGAGGAGAAAACGACTCGAAGTAATCGTCTGAAATGAAGGCTAGACCGCCACTTGCTCTAGATTTTTGCAAGAGTCCTGCTAAAAACACCTTTTTCTAACAGCCACAGCAAAGGGTCTAGATGTCAACGCCTTTTTAGCTTCTTAGCAAAGTCAGCATTGATGCTGTCTACAAGTGTGATCTTATTATTCTCTTCGATTGAACAGAAAATTAATGCCTCGAAAAGTCCAGGCAGCGGTAATGAGTTGTTGAGCAGTGAAAGGATCGCAGGGAATAAGATACCGTGTCAGGACGAAGAGAATAACGTAGATGATCTCGTCATTGCTAATCTCGACGAACAGTCAATTGTTCAAACGCCATTTTTAACTTTTGTACCAGATGAGCAAATAGCTGAAGTTACAGTACAAGCACGCACTAAATGAAAAATAAAACAAAAAAAAACGCCACAAGAAGAGAAAAAACGCGCAAAAAAAAAACGAAAAAAATAATTACACTAAAAATCAAAAAGTAAAAGGGAACAGGAAAAGTGGCCGATCTTAGCCCTTCCAGAGGGCAAAATACCCGCTAAAAATGCCCTAAATGGGACTTGGTGGACTGCTAGGTACAGTTAGAATACTTACAACTAATCCTCTTAGTTTTGACCTAGTAAACTATTTCAACATTGTGCATTTGCATTTTGATTTTGCTTTCAATGAAAAGCCTGTGTAATGTTCTATTGTTTCCGTGAGCCAATTGCAGAAAGGACCGAAACTCGTCTAGTATAGGAGGTATATTATAGAAGGGTCACGAACAGGTTTAATCGACTCAACATTTAACTATGTTTCCTAGGGCAGTTATTTAACAGTTTATTTAAGTATCCATGCTGGATTAATCGAAACAGGGCAGCTATAACGCCAAAGACAAAAGACACCCACGCCAGAGTTGCGTCAAACGTGATTCTTCCAGCCTTAAATCCACATCGCCTCTTTTCAGCGTAGGAGACGAA